TCATGGTCTATCTGCGGGGACAGGAGAGACAAGAGACACGGTCTGGTAAGGAACAGGACAGAAAGAAGGCATGGGGAGGTTGGGAAGGGTGGAAGGGTGGCGAGTGCTCAGAATCAGCTCAGCAGGCAGGCGAAAGGTCACATCAGTCTTGGGACAGGACGCACCTGCCCTGAGACACCTGACACACTGCCTGAGGGTCAAGGGTCGGGTCCTGGCAGAAAAGAATCAAAGTCTCCCGAATTGCTCTCCTGCATGGCTAAGAAGAAGCCCTGCAAGAAAACGACCAAAGAATGGATGTTTCTGCGATTTCCTGGCTCCAGCCCTCTCTCTATTTCACTGAGATCATCACAAGTCATTGGGACCAGCAGATGGCGTAATGGCGCAGTGGTTGTATCGCTGGACTCCCACATAGTCGATGGCTGTTCGAATCCCAGGTCCAGCAGCTTAAAACTCACACTGGGCATGTGTGCATGCGTGTCCAAGATCCCCAGAGGAGAATAGAGGAGAAGGGATTGCGGTGTGGTCATCCCCCCCCCGGGGGGGGGGAGAATTCTCACATTCTGTCTCTCAGTCTCTGTCTCTCTGGCAAGCGCACGCACCCTATAGCAAAAATCTCTCAAAAAATAAATTAAAATAAAAATAAAACAAAACAAGTCATTGGGAGATGCCCAAACACTAAACCAAACTAACAAGCCTTGGCTACATGCCAAATGTATGCAGGCACTTTGGGGATAGTCCCTAAAATGGATACAATTTGGTGTCCCACCTGTAGGTACCGGAGAGTCAGCTTTCAGCAAGGACAAGTCAGCAGATGTGTGACAAACAGTCCCTGACCAGTAAATATGCTCTACATGAATGCTCGGGTGAAGGAAAGTGAGAAATCACCTCCCCAGGGAGATGGCCACGACATAATCCCTTCTCTTCCATTCTCCTCTCTGGCTCCCATATTAAATTCTTTTTATTTCTTCCCCCCCCTTATTTTTTAAGAATTTTTCAATTTATTTTTCTTTATTATTATTATTACTTTTAATTTGGTATAGGACATGGGTGCTCCCCAGACAGACAGCAAAGCCACCAGGTCCAGGATTAGAACCGTGTCAGCCATGTGGGAGTCCAGCACTTCAACTACCACACCACTTGCTGGCCCCTGAATTCTCCCTTGTGAGGGTACTATTTCCCTGCAGATACCAGATTCCTTGATTCTGAGAAAAACTATCTAAGGAGCCAGCAGATGGTGTGGTGATTAAGGGGCTGGACTCCCACATGGCCAACCGGGGTTCAAGTCCCAGACTC